TTTTTCTCTCTCTCTCCCTCTCTCTCCCCCTCTCTCTTTTTTTTTTCTCGGGGTACAGGCTTGTTTTTCAAAGGACAGTTGAATTGCACGTCAGAAACAGGGAGACCGAGCCTGCGATTTTCCTGACGAATACATATCTATTCTGCAACCTCGGCATTAATTATTTAATGAATCACGTGACCAGGAGGGGGAAGGGGGTCTTTCGATTTCAGACTCAAAGGACCACTATGACCTTCCCCTTCAGGAGGAGAAATTTTCCTGCAAAATAGGTTCCCCCCAACCCACCAATGGAAGAGTAGCAAGTTCTTGTCTCCCACATTCACATCTATACCTACTCTACCTACGGCTCCCTAACCTCCCCCCAACCCCCGCCCAGACACACACTTACCTACAGCCCACCTCTCCTCTCTCCCTTCTCCTCCTGCTTCTGCTTAGTTCGTGGAGGTGCAGAAATAGTCTGCAGGGGCGTCTGGGGGGTGGGGGTGGGGTGGGCGCAGAGCCCTGCTCCAAGCCTCTGGATTTCTCAGCTTCCAGCTCGTCTCTCTGCGTCCTTTAAGATTAGGATTCCCCCCCAACTCCATTCTCTCCCTCACTCCTAGGATATTTATTTTAGTGGGACCCACTCCCCCTCTCCTAAAAAAGCAACAACATTTCTAAAGGGACCAGCTTCAAAAGAAGCACTCCCCACAAGTCCGCGGTACATAGGCATGAAGAATGGGGCTTCTGGCTTTAATGCTCTTTCTGATCTTTTGTGGTACATTTTGAAGGGGCAGAGAGGGGACAGGATGAAGAGACGACTCTGGAGCTCCCAGAGCTGAGGATACCCACAAGGGGGACTCCCCGCCCCCCCCCCTTGTGTTACTACCACCACGAGGAATCAAATTCTACTGACCAACTGAGAATATGTTCTAGACACAAAGACTCAGACTAGGGTTTCTACACAAAAGAAGTGGGAACTCAGGCTCTGTCTACCTATGTCACACACCATCTCGGTGACCCCCTCCACCCCTGACACACCAGGGAAGACGGCTTAAGATTTGAACTAGAGGGGAAGGAAAGGGAAGAAAGACGAGGCTTTGAAGTCAGTCTGGCAGCCCCAGGGTCCCTATTCCCCAGGTGTCAGTACCCTGAGCTCCCAATCAGCAGACAATGGAGACCGATCAATGGGCAAAGAGGAGGGGGGTCGCATATTAAAGGGTTAAACACAGGGATGATAGGGGAAATCCATTCCCTAGGCCTGGAGAGGGAAGCGGACACACAGTCCTTCACCTCGGGTGTAAACAAAACAAAAACAAAAACAAAAACCCAGATCCCCCAAACCTTCACTTACAGCTTGGCCCCAGAATGAGCAGACCAGTAGCAACCAGAATCGGAGTCCTGGGCCATCGCGTGGGGTGGGGGCGCAAAGGGGAGCAGAAAAGACATTCCTGCAGGAGCCCCTGTCCTCACATTCCCAGTCTTATCTTCGGCAGCAACTGGGGCAGCCTGGCCTCCGCCGCGCCGGCTGGAGCAGACACGAGAGAGAATCAATGCGGCTTAGGGTAGGGGAGCAGGGGCCGCGGGGCCGCCACTGGTTTGTTTGGAGAGGTCTGACCCAAAAACAACTCAAGGGGGAAGAGGCTGAGGACCCAGATGCCCTAACCACCCGCAAAGAAACAGCCACCCTGCACTCGCACGCACTCGGCGGCCCCCGTAAATTCCAGCTGTGGCGGCAGCTTGGCCCCGGCCGCCTCCTCGGAATCCCGCTCCCGACGACGCACGGGTGGGGCGCCGGCGGGGCCCAGACTCTGTAGGGGGGTGGTCGGCTTTGATTGTCCCGATACAAAACACAGACTGGGATTGAATTCAGCGGGCTCCCGATGTGGGCCCTGCGCCTGGTTCCAGCCAGGGCAACTCCTTGCAAGGTCCTGGCCACAAATGCATTAAAAACGGTCCCCTATAGGAAAACAGTCCACTAAAGTCTGAAAGAAAAAAAGGAGAGAGAGAGAAAGAGCGAGCGAGCGAGAGAGAAATTGGAAGCAATATGCAGGAGCAGGGGAAGACAGCAATCTCTGAAACCTGAGAAATTGTCTTTAAGGGCAAGGAAAAGAAACCGCAAAATGACACGAAGACACGCTGGGCAGGTTCTGTTAAAATGCCCACACTCTTTTCGGATCCTGGGAATGTCCGTGTTCAAATAAACAAGCGCCTGAGCGCGCGCTGAGCGCTTTCTTGCTGCCGATAAAGCGAACGTTCATTCTGCGAGAGAGGCAAGATTGATTTACGAATCTGAACGCGCCGGTTTTATGGCTGATCACAAATCCGTCAGCGCTCAGCTCACGCTGGGAAACTTCCCAACTCCGTTTTCCAAGCAGACTCCCCTCCCCAGCCGGCCACTCTTCCCAGGGAGACCCACCACGGGCGCTGGGGTGGCCTCCCCGGGCTCTGGCAGAACTGAGGAGCCCCTCTGCCCCGGTAAGTGCAAGGAGGAGGGTGAATCCGGAGGGCCCAGGGGCCTGGAGGGAAGAGAGGCCAAAGATGAGGATGGGGTGGCCACCAGAATTGTAGAAGGTGAAGGTGAGTCTGTCTAGCTGGGGAGACTGCCCAGCCCCTGAAAAGACTGGGGTCTGGAAGTGAGGGAAAAGGGAAATCTGGAAGCTCTGGCCTATGGGGCTGAAACCCTTGAATGAACCCCAACTTTCCCTTCCATGGTTTCCCCCCTCCTTCCCTTTGATGGACCCCTCACTCTGCAGAGAGCAGCTTTGTAAAGTCCCAGGTGACTAGATCTTTGCCACCTGGGACTATAAGAAGGCCCACAGTTGGTTATCTGCCCTTATGAGTAATGGGTGCACGTCTCCCATGAACCTCAAACATTTCCAATCCAGGAGTAGCCCAGCTCACCTTTCTACCCACTTCCTCTCCTGCCCCAGGCCTCCAGCCCCTGCATTTATCATGCCACTCAGGGACAAAGGAGATGATACCAACCAACGCCAGTTAGTTCTTGCCTGAGACTGAGTCCCCAAGTGACAGGAGACGATTGAGACGATTTACAAAATACAAACCAACATCCCACACACATCCCAGCAAGGTTCTGTGTCTCCTGGTTTTAAGTGAAGGAACATTTCCTCTCTTCCCAGCTGGAGTCTCAGTCTGTCCGTGTCTCTCTCTCACCCTCTCTCTCTGTGTCTCTTTGTCTCTATCTCCTCTTTAAAAAAAAAAAAAAATTGGTTGCTGGTATGGATTTTCAGACACATCAAGTAGAAAACAGAATTGGAAAGGCTCCATGTTAGCAAATTCTCCACGCATCTCTTAAAATTCAAAGTTGCTAAAACTCTGGTTGATGTGGCAGAACTGTCCTTGGAAATGGTCAGAACAGCCTGTACTGACCCTTCTCCCATCTCTCCTGCTCCCCTGGTGAGAAGGTATCCATGGACTGTGTGAGAAGCTGGGGTGAGACTGGGGATTAGGGGAAGGGGGCACAAGTGATTGCAGGAATAGTCTCCTAAACAAAGGAACTTCAGAAAAATGGGTTAAGAAGCTGTGAATTTGGATATCAGACCTTGAGAGACAGTAACCTCCAAGGGACTGTTAGTGGGGAGCCTTCCCTCTCTTGAGAACCCCGGGGCTTGTCCCTTAAGCCCCCTGAAGCCCTGTGGACCTGTCATATCGTCTCCCTTTGTCTCTCTTCCCTCCGTTCCCTCCAAGCGAAACAGGAAACAAGAGATGAACTGGACATGGGGGGGGGGGAGCGGTGGTTAGAACCTGGCCTAGGGAAGGAGTCCTACACAGAGATCCAGATCAGCACCCTACTCCCTTCCCCCAACTGCACCCCAGGGCTAAAATTTTCACTCCTTTTCTCCCCAGGGGACAGTAATAGAAAAACAATCCAGAAATTCCCAGTTAGCAAAGAAGGGGTTGGGGGCTAGAGGGAGATGACGAAGGTGGGGCCACGACAACTCAAAGTACCCCTCAGCTCAAAGTACCCCTCCCTGCAGAGGTAGGACTTTCCCTCCTGGGCAGGAGGCAGGAGCCAGCCCACTGTCCAGTCTCAGAGAGGTCAAGGGGCTTCCGAGGTCATTTTGTGGTTCTAATACTGAGCTAATCGCCTAGAAAACGTGGCCTCTCCATGAACTCTCTCTCCTGCCAGCCTCCTGCCTCCAAACCCTTAGTGAGCCCCAGGGTAAAAGAGCCAGCACATTCGGGCACAGCCCACTGGCTACCTCACCCTCAGAAGCAGGGCCCCAGAAGGAGGAACAGAGACCCCAAAACAAGAGAGCAAAAGGAAACCAAATTGAACACTGAGCCTCCAGGAAGAAGAGGGGGGCAGAGTTGAAAAGGAAGATTCCGGCATCAACGAACGTCGCCTGTAAACGGAACAGTTTCCTGCTCCAGAGTTGCAAATATTTGTCTAGAATCCCAAGCTAGACACAAAAAGAAGGAAAGGAAAAACAGCGACAACAAACCGACATCTACCTATACCCTGCTCCAAGCCTGGGGCATTCCATCCAAGAACCGCATTCCATTTTTTCCAGGAGGCGGCAGTGACAACATCTCACCGGTAAACAGACATATGGGACGCGAGCCACCAGTGTAGACAAGCGAAGTCACAGAACACACGGGCCACATGTGCACATCACCACACACGCACACATGCACACACGCTGCCCCCCCCCCAGGCCCACCTGCATTTTCCGAAACCCGAAAAAGCACTTCTGAGAGCTGCCTCACAAACCACCCTCTCTGGGGTTTTTCAGGGGTCCTGACACCTCAGTCCCAAGCAGTTCAAACACTCTCCAGGTGTGAGGCCCCTCTCTCTCCCTCTGACCCGAGCATCAGTCATCATAAAAGGCAGCAAATCTGACCAAGCATCCACCATAAAAAAAAAAAAAAAACACGAAGAAAGTTGAAAAAGGAAAAGAAGGAGGCGAGAGACTTTCTTCTTTCCTTTGTAAAAAGAGCTCATAAAATGATCAAAAAAAAAAAAAAAAAAAAAAAGGCAGCCCAGGCAGGGGCTTTGTTACCTTTGCGCCTCTCGCCTCCTCTGGCCTGAATTCTGCGGATCCCATTCATGACGAAGGGCTTCTTCCAAACTGAGAGAAAAAAGTTTTCAACTTTATGGTTCCAAATTTTTTCCCCCTCGCAGATCCGGGAGAGCCAGCTAACACTTTTTTCCCCCAACAGCCGGTCTGCGGAGATTTGCTGTTGAATAATAACAAAGGAGAGAGGATACGTATTTAAAGAAAAGAAGTGATTAATGGTTTTCTGTATAATTCTCACATTTTTCTTAGCTCTTGTCTACACAGAATGGCTGTGAACTTTAAGCTCCATAGAAATCTTTTTTTTATTCTATTCATACCTTCCAAGGAGCAGCTTTGATTTGGTTCTATAGAGACATTCCTGGGGGGGGCATATGCTTTTTAAGGACTATTTTCCCCCTCCGCTAAGGGCGGTATCCGTTTGGCAGTTAAACATCACACCGCGATTCGACCAAAACAAAGCTCGCCTCCAGGTCCTGTCAATTTTTTTTTTTTTTTTTTTTTTTAATGAGACCTCCAGGAGCATTTCAACGGGCAGTTCCAGTGCCCTTTCCCGTGCTGTGGACACCGGCCCTGTGTGTCCCAGGCCCTACCCAGCCTCAAACTCCCGGGCGCTGCAAACCGGAGGAATACAAAAGAAGTAACAGTAAAAAACGTGCTGGTGGAATCAGCTGTGTTTATTTTCTGGAGGGAGGTGGGACTGAAAAACAACTTTTAATTGCATATGCTCTCTCTCGAGCCCCAAGTTTTTTGGAGGCGGGTGGCTGTATCCTGGGCCACCACAAGACCAGAGACCCCGAGGCTGGAGCCCTCGGACCTTAAGCACATCTCTTGGGTGCTGCCCCAAAACGGCCCAAGCCCGACAGAGCTTGTGAGGGTCATCGGCACCCCCCCACCCCCTTCCCCCACTCCATTCTAGGGGTGACTGGGACCTCGGAGACAGAAAGCTATTTGGTCCCCGGTCGTACTTTCGATACTTTCTATGAGAAAGAAAATGAAAATTAATACAGGAGCAGGGCTTCACAAAAGAGGCCATTTGTCTTCTTGATTATCTATTTGCTTGTCAGAGTTTGAGCTATGGCACCGGCTAGCTCCTTTGTAATATAAAAATACTCTGAAAACCTGCAAACACCCAGAAACATCTGTGCAAAAAATTAGACTCATTAAAGCTTTAAACACCTCAGAGGAAAACGATACCTTCTTAGGCGGGAGGCAAGAGGCCGGCCTCGCAGAAATCCTCCCTCCGAACCTTAATAAGCAAAGAGCCGTCTGTCTAGAAAGAGACAGCTTAACCGCATTTTATTTGCTTATGACAAATAAATCACGATATGAAAGGCTTTGCCATACTTAAGCCTCTCGTGTCCTACAATGAAACATTTTCCCCCCATTAGGGATTGGAGTCGGCCCTCCCAGTACTTTCAATCCATTTTTGGACTGGAGGGAAAAAATTAAAAGCCCCAAACAAAACACACCCACCCCGAAAGGAAAACAAACCAGCTACCACAATTTGGAGTCCTCTGAGATAGAAATTCTCCTTGGACCCTTCGAAAAAAAAATCCTCAACCACATACAATGTGAGGCCGAATGGACTGAGATGCTTAAAATATACGCTGGGTGGCATTCGTCTGTATCTTTACTTCAAGGTTTCAACAAAAACACGCCGTGCTGGTCACAAGAAACCAAACATTTATTTCTATTGTCACTCTGTACAGGACACAAAATTTTCACGCCAACGAAGGGTTCTAGACTCAGGCAGCCCCAGAACTAGGAAGGGACCTGGTTTGGAATGTCAGAGAGAGAACAGGAGACAGGACGCGCATGACATAAAATAATAATAATAATAATAATAATAATTAATAATAATAATAATCAATGCAAAACAATGATAAACTATGGGAGAGGTCTCTGCAATATGTCTCCCAGACCGGGAGGCCCCACCACATTTTCTGTGCTAGTCTCACATTCATTTGCAGCGGAGGAGAGAAGGCCTGGCTGCACAACTCAATTGGCCAGAGGGTTGTGCCCAGCTTCCAGAACTCAGCTGGCCCCTCACTCTGCCAGGAATGGCTTGACCTTCCAGAAGAAGGCCCTCTCGGGTCTCCGGGTCTCTTTTCTGTTGGACTCAATTTCCCTGCCTGGTCCTGCGGTGCCAAGGCCACCCCCCACCTCCACGTGTCCCCTTCCTGCTGCTGCCCCCCACCCCACCCCTTGGTGGAAGGGGGTGAGCAGTCAGTGTGCCCATGGAGGGGCACCGAGGGGGAGGAGGGTGTGTGTGTGTGTGTGTGTGTGTGTGTATGTGTGTGTGTGTGTGTGCGCGCGTGTTACCGTGGCCAAAACACTGCGCTATCTGGCAGTCACAGGGTGCTTTCGCTGGGTGTCAGGAATGGGGGACAAAGAAAGAAAATCCAGGCTGTCTTCCAGCAGCGGCAGCAGCAGAGGCGGCGGCGTCGGAGCCGGGCCTCATTTGTTAGCCGGGTGTCGAGGTAATGGTCGCCACCGAGGCCCGTCCTCTCCGCGGCAGAGTAAACAAGACAGATGGGCCTGGGCCTGGCGTGATTAAAGATGAAACGTGGATCCATCTTCGCCAAAGCTGAAAACGAGGAGTGCAGCCTCCTATTTCTCTTTCTGTCTTTTTCTTTCTTCCTTCTTCTTCTTTTTCTTCTTCTTCTTCTTCTTCTTTTTAAGGAAGAAAGCAAGAGACTTGAACCTTGCTTCTGGGGGGCCTCGCCTGGCTCCCTATTTTCATTTCTATAAATAAAGCTTCCCCTCCCCCTCCTCTGCGTTTATTCGTGTAATAGATAAAGTAGGGGGAGGGCAGGTAGCTTTTGCGGACCCAGGCCCCAGGGTCCCCTCCCGCATCTCCCCCTGCCGCTCCCCCCCCCCCCCCCCCCGCCCAGCGCTCACAACCCACCCCCGCCCCGAGGTTCGCGGCTCCCGCGCGGGGGGGGGGCACTAGAGCGCGGGGGGGCCTCCGTTGGGCCGGCCAGGGGGCCCTCCGGCAGCTCCTGCGGTGCCACCCGAGCGGATCTTGGTGTTGGGCAACTTGTGGTCTTTTTTCCACTTCATGCGCCGGTTCTGGAACCAGATCTTGATCTGGCGCTCGGAGAGACAGAGCGCGTGGGCGATCTCCACCCTCCGGCGCCGCGTCAGGTAGCGGTTGTAGTGAAATTCCTTCTCCAGTTCCAAGACCTGCTGGCGAGTGTAGGCTGTCCGAGAGCGCTTGGGCTCCCCGCCGGCGTAATTGGGGTTTACTGGACACACACAGAGAGAGGGAGAAAGAGAAAGTTTTATTGCCCCGAAAGGGAGGAGGGAGAGAGCCCTTTCTTCCAGCTAACACAGCGTCTCCCTCCC